ATTTGGATCCTACAGAGGACGGAGTTCTTACTAGGCGGATAAAATGTTTAATGTCGTGACCAATTGGGCTACTCATTTCATAAAGATTTGAAAATCTAGCTCAACCTTTGAAATAATGTAATATCGTTTGAATGAATGGCGACCCTTTGCCTGTCGTAGCGTAGTGTTTTTGAAGGGCAATATGAATCTCGTATTGAAGTAAAATAAAGACGCACGGTTTTTCTCCCGAAGTATTTGTAGTTGCCGCGTTGAGATTCTTGTATCACGAGAGACTTCGTAAGGAAGATTTATTTATTCCTAGGTTATGGGCACGTGACGCCCCAAACACAATATGGGAAGCTTCTCACAATGCTGTATGCCGTCATTGGGATTCCCCTGTTCTTCAGTTACCTCTCTAAAAACGGTGATATGATGGCCTCAGTCTTTCGTCTGGCTTATGCTCGGGGTTGTAAGCCAGTATTTAGGTTGATCAGTCGACGACGCAGCCGTTTCACGGCGAAAAATGGGCTGTATAACACCATGCAATCCTTTGCATTAATCGCGAATCTCGATGCCGCCGTTACGCGCCTGCATCGCAAAGACTCTATAGATTCTAATGACTCAACGAACCTTCATCGGAATCCATCCGTACTTTCTTCAAAAACAATCCGAAGTGATGGAAAAGTAAAGGTGAAATATCCTCGTCCACTCAAGAGGTCAATGTCAAGTAAAAGTCTTCGTGAGATGAGGCGGAATGCGGTCGCAGAATTGGGCTCTCGCCGGTCGACGGAAGAAGATGGTACCCGTACGATTGGACCTAGTACAAAATTAGTCATGCCGTCTTCCACAACTTTGGACTCTTGTAACAAACAATATCGAAAGTTCTTTTCCACCGGTAACGAAAACACGTCCGCATCAGTTTATGGAATTAATGGCAGCACCAACTACAATGGGGCTTCACGGAAGTTGATGTTCCACAATAAAGCCAAGGCATCTTTAGAGGATAAACCAGTGAATGTACCAATAAGCCTCACTCTTTGTATGATGTTTATCTACATCTTGATTGGAGCTACTGTCTTCTGCATGTGGGAGAACCCGGACTATATCAAGTGGTCTTACTTCTGTTTTGTGACGTTATCAACAATTGGATTTGGAGACATCGTCCCTGGTAAGTGAATCTTGATTTCGTCTAGTTAATGCATTACAACTACGATTGGAAACGATGGCAATGGGCAAGTTAGATTGTAAAAATGTTGCTCGTTAATAAAGAAGACGAGATGCCAAAGTGTCCAGGGGAACAGAACTGCCTATTTCCGGCTATAGAGTAGATGGCAAGAGGAGGCAACAGCTAATAAGTGCCTTTGAGGCAAACCTGTCCGAAAAAGTCACTACTTTTAGGCCCCCGATGATACTTTAAGGCTTAATTTAGTATGAGATTAAGATTCTCCAATCGTTTTATTGGATTACGCAAAAAGTACCTTCAAGTCTTCCAAATTAATCGTTTATCTAAAGGAGAATTCCATAAGGGGAAAATGGATGTGAAGTTTGTTTACTGAAAAAAACTTAACATTTCAGTATGATTGACACCAGGGCTTCATATATCACGATTGGAACTATAAATTCGATTCCTTTTTATTAAGACGGCATTTTCTTTCTGTGCCTTTTGAGATTATCTCTTTTCACTAGTCAGTTGTTCCACGTTAAGATCAACTAGTAAAATAGTCGTGCTTACGTATGGAAAGTCAAAGACGTCAGCCTGAACTGGAATGGACTAGTTGACATTGGGGGGAAGTGTGAGACCTGTTGGGCCTTCCTGAACTGTTTTAGTTTAATGGAGGAGGTTCAAGGTATGTAAAGCCACCCATTTCGGTCACGTAAAGTCTCTTCAACACGAGTTAACCAGGTTTTTAATCCTGGCTAACCCAACCACACCTTACTCTCAGGCACTTAAAGATCCACTCAAAGCAGTTCAAAATCAAGGGAACATTTCACCAATCTTAAAGTCAATTGTTTCGATCCATCGATCTAAGTTTTATGACCAACTTGAACTAAGACTTCCCTTTTTAGCCATATGCCCTAAAATCATACACTTGCAGATTCACTTACAATATAAACACATTCCATTCTCACTGGCATAAATATTGCCACTACAGTTCTCGATGAGAAAATTAAATTTTGACTGTTTAAATCATGGAAATGTTGCAAAAAGTGATTAAATCGATTAAAAATGTGAGAGAAATACAATGGAGTCACCAGATTGTTTTAGTTTGTGAAAGTAAAATTCACAATTATAAATAAGGATTTATAACTCAATTTGATGAAATTGATAGTTAACGTTTCAGTTCAAGGAAAGACATGGAAAAATGATATAGGCTGAGACAGAAAATTAAATACAATCCAAACCTTATAGTCCCTTTGTTTTAAGTAAGATTTGAGGGATTATTGTTTTCATTGGTCAAAACGAGCATAAGGGCTCCGAGAAAGTTCTAAAAAGCATGCTAAGGGTAAATAAAAAATGACCAAAGGCTTTAGTCATAGACGGCTGCAAGAACACACTATGCATGTGCTTTTTCCCTTCCCACTACCAAAGCACCGAATTCATATACTCGTTGCTTGCCGGGAAAATAAAGCCTGAGTTCTCATGGTTTACCTTCGCACAACCTGTTTTGACAACAAAATGGTGATTTTTAACGCACAAGAATCTCCTAGTCTGAATTCAGTTCACTGAGTGTATCTAGTTCGGTTTCACTTAGCTTTCTGATTTGTCAGATCCCTTTAACGATATTTTTCTTGGCAAGATTTTGTTCATAATGCTTAATAAATACCTTGGTTTAACCACTGCAGAACTTGCAATACATACCCTCCTATTTCGCGTGTTTACTTTTTTCGAAATTGATGTAATCATTCTGAGTCCAAGGCAAAGCAGGTAGCCCTTTTAAAAACGCGATAGTTGCTAGTTTAAAAGTGAAAAAAGACGCTTAACTTGTTCACCGAATTTCACGGAGTAAGACCCCGTCGAAGATGCTTAGCATGTTAGAATGCATGCTTAGAATTTTAAGGCGCAACTTCAAACTAACCAGTGTTAACCCACTAAAAGTTGTGTTAACTGTGCTCGCGGTGATGAAAGTGGCTCCTCTCGTAGCACTTGATAATAATTTGGCAAAAGACCACGCTTTTGTACTAAATTTTCCTAGAAAAAAAGTGCTGTTTCTTAAAATCCAAAAATTATCTTACGCTTTTTGCAAAAAAACCCTTTGGTTACATTCACTATATGGAAGACTGTTCCAACGAAAAATCCTGTACTTCTAAATGGCATTTTTGCTAAAGTTTCTGATTAAGTTTGCATTTAAGCAGAAAAAACCACCAAAACCACTCAAATAAACCAGAAATAAGTTTAATTACACTACCCATTCTGATGTAACACGAACGTTTAATAAACATTTTGAAAAAAACCCTTGTAAATAGTTGACCAATGCTATTCTAAGCATCATGAGCTTCAACGCAGCAGCTGATTTCAGCAGTCGTTAAAGTTTTACATACTCATTTTATTTACCAAATTAATTGGTTAACAATTGTAATATTGATTTTTTGAGTAAACACCGATGGCATCAATTTACTTCAGGCTTTATCTCACAAATACACTTTCATCATCTTGCTGCATCGTACCTAAAATTAAGTACGTTGGTTTTTTTGAAATATTGAAAGACCAGAGGGTTTAAAATATTGGATGCATTCCCTATCATCTTTGCCATATGATTAATTTATCATTTACCAACAGACATTAGCGTGATAAACATTCCATATACTTCATGTGTAAAACTTTATCAATGAGTGCATTGATAAATGTCAGTCCAAATTATAACGTTTCATTGTTGCTCTACCTCCCTTCATTGTAAATTCGTGGGATATTTGATTTCATAAACATTCTAGATTTGGCGGCAGATAATAAATTTTGTCCTTATTAATTACCAGTCGATGCTTTGAATAAATTATACTAATAAGTGTTTCGTAATTTTGCGAGAAACGATGTGTGAAACTGTGATTTAATGTGGCCACTATCACCTTGTAATTATTAATTGGCCTCGGCATAAATGAAAGGAGATCCATAATATAACCTAACTTAAATGAATAGCTACCTTTAAACTTGTCTCACGAACCGGCTCAAGTGGGACCAATAAATGAGAATTGGATAAAGGCGACTTTTACACTCCCACAAAACAGTGTACTATTGAAAGGCGAAATACGAAGGCTAACCTATTTCTAGTGTATTTGGACTTCATATTATGCATTAAGTGTGGGTTCGGTTCTCATTTGAACCTGACGAAAATCATTTAATATGGCTCAAAATTTATGTTATCACTCCATTCCCAAAATTATAACTTGGTAAGTTGCTAAAATTACTCTAGCTATTCAAATCCAGTTGTTACTTACATTGTGCCTTGCAAAGGTGGTATAGTAAAACGATCTAATTACAGGTTGACGCTTCATGTTTTAAAAATGTATAATTAAATCGAAGCAAAATATGTAACTTTAAGTTTCTGATCCCCTATAATGACCTTGAGTGGAGACCAAGCAGATTATTTGTAAATGTAATCGTGTTTTGTTGAAATCCTGCTTCATCACCTTAGAACCGTCAACTGCTGAAAAGCCACGTGAGGCAGCTGATGTATCCAAATTCCCCTATTGTATTTCAGTTCTCGCCTAATACATCTTAATACAAGGTGTAATGCACGTCACCATTACCAGTACATAAAGGCAGTTTTTCCCTATCAGCCTTAGGGCTACCGTTAAAACCCATAATATAGATAATGTAATCAGTCATCGCATGTATGGACATGATTTCAGTGTTTTTTTTTGTAATAATTTGTCCCATCTTTACTTTTCGCAGTAAATAAAGGCACCTTTGTTTGTGTTGGTGATTGGTTGCCATATCATATCACGTAGAGCCATCTGCTATTGTTGACGGCATTCAATTGTTAATTAAATCCTGACTGAAAAATCGTCGGAAGCATTTATCTACACACTGCTCTAGTCTTTTGAATGAATAAACTGTCGTGTCTGTTGTCGAATGCCGTTTAATTATGGTTTCTTAAAGTAGCGAATCTGGTACCACTTCTTGATTGCGGGTAAAAAGCCCACTATTTAACTACTTTGTGGATTTATTTGAATTTGAATATCTATGTTCTGATCTTTTTTCTGAATTAAGTCTTTTCAGAAGTATACACTACTTTATCAGCAATAGTTATAAAAGATCCTCATAACTGCCAAAAGTTTACTCTTGTTGAACTTGATCACTTTTATTTTCATTGTGTGAAGTACCTAGGCAAACGTATCCTTATTGACCTGGAGAAACCTCTAAGCGTGATGTTTAGTGGTGGCAGACCTATGCTGATGTTTAAGTAATTTCTGGGTTGGCTTCATTGCTCATCTGTATGCAAACGGAAAGTAATGAAGCATTATGTTTTTCTGCATTTCTTCGGCAACCACAAACTTAGGTGAGGTCAGAATACCATTGAACACAGACGTTTGCAATATCTTGCCGATTAAATTTGGCTTCACCGTCTTTCCTTGGGTTCTTTTGGTAAGAGGTTTCGCAGTTTTACTGATGGGTTGGGGACAGAAGCATTATTTATCCCGATATTTTGTGTATTACTCATCATAATATGAGTTGTATTGTAATGTCTTGTTTATTAATGGGTACTTTTACCTGAATGCTTATTGTAAAATTACTTACAATGGCATGAATCAGTAGCTAATAATGAATTCGACATGAAATCCAGCACTTCAATTGATTGAAAAAGACAATGTTATATAGCCGATATGAGAAAGAATTGAATTACTTTAAGGCACAAAGATAGACTCAGAAAATCCGAAGGAGAAAATGATAGCCCTGATCTTCTACGTCTCAATTGGCCTGTCTTTCTTCGCAATGTGTTTCAAATTAATGGAGGAAGAGGCAATGAACAAGCTGCGTCGAATCGGTCAGCGAATGGGAATACTTAAACGGCCAGAGGTGGAACAGGCAGCCAAACTTATTAAAACTGCCGACGTCAATTTTATTCCTCTCGATGGTGCCGCTGCTAAAAAACTCACTTCCAACAGTCACAAAAGTGCCAATGTCTCCCATTTATCTGGACTTCGCTCAGCATTATGAAGACTCTGGTTTTGGAAGGAAGAATAGAACACGGCATCGATTATGAATATCTTGTGTTTTCATTAACTGCTACTCAACTTGTGCTATTTCTATACAAAACCACTTGTAAGGTTGTAGATGTGTCTACTTTCCACAAATAAAAAAAATTTGTAATACCGATCAAAAAAGTTTAATATTGCAAAGTGAATATGCGGTTACTGTAATGAGATTAAAGTGAACATTAAAAAAAGAAATAGTCCAGAAGCTAAAAAACGAAAACTAATCAATTTACAAAAAAATCAAACAGCTAAGTTCCTAAGCTTTAGTAAATTATATGGCAAAAACTCTTCCTCAGATCTTCGTGAAATGAGTAGCCCAATTGGTCACGACATTAAACATTTTATCCGCCTAGTAAGAACTCCGTCCTCTGTAGGATCCAAATCAAGGTTCTTTGTCGTTCAACTATCTCCAAACACCTAATTTGCCTATTTGTCTACACGGTAGTCAGTTACAGAAGAAGACGCTGACTGAAAATCCTGCCTCAGCAGCGACATGCAGACGACGCACAAGTTGTCTGGCAGTGCTTAGGCAAACGATAAAATCACCTGGATGCTGCCACGTTGTGTGCATTGCGTCTTTCGCAGTATTGTCCCTCCTAACCACTCTCACTCATAACGCGTTCTTGAGGTTTCCGACATTATTTTCTAGGGTCCTCAGGGGAACCATAGAGGCTGCTGCAGTGTTACAACGCGCAAATCAACATTAGAAATATGGCAAAAAGACGCTGTGGCCTGCAAGTAGTATTTCGAGGTCCCATGATTGCTATTGTTTAGGCTTGGTCGTGTGAAAAATAATATTTCATCTGGTGGGATTGTAGGACACCCTACGTCCAGGCGTTGTAAGTCACTTAGTGACCGCACACTTAAATCAGTGCCCCTCAATCAGGCGTTGTTCCGAATAAAAAAAGTACTTATGGTGTGGTGTCATGTTGTCAACTTTGATTTATGTCAAAGCAGAGATCATCTAATGTACTTTTATCCATCAATTAGGAAGCATCAGCCAACCAAGTCAGTTGTTTTAAAGTGTTCAACAACTATTGCGTATTACACCCTCACATCTAAGGCTAACTGCTGTGCGTATTTCCACACCGCTTGTGCGTGAACCAAATAGCATTTACGCGAAGGTGAAGTATGTGTGATCGATACCCGGAACAAGCGAATTCTGGTGGGTGAGCTGTACATTGTCCTTTGTACTAGCCTCCAAAAATAGACAGTTTGGAGTGGACGCTCTTCCCAGGATGTTCCTATCTGATGTCCCAGTCACGCGAAAACATCGTGCAGAGTGGAAACGTGTGTAAAGCATAGTCTGAAATTCACGCACATTACAAGACCCAAATCCCAACACTTACATGCTGATTGAAGTCCACCAATTGAAGCCAAGATTGCAACAATCAGGTGTTCATGTTGTAAATTCTAACGCTCTCACTAATTAAACATGCGCTAAGATTTCGAGCATTTCTAGGGTTCATGTTTGTTGGTTCAGGATACACACGTTAGGAGTAAAACAGGGAAATGAGTATTTTGTGGAAACTGGATTGGACGAGTCTGCGGATTGGGGAATTTGAATTGAAAATGAAAGCAATTGATGTAAGGTAGACAAAAGGACTGATTGCAAAGTACTGACTTATTCGGACCAGATTCAGGAAGGTGATGTTTAGTGCCTGTACACAAATTGCATTTTTAAACGAGATATCGCTTGGTCTTGTCATGCAGGACACATTGCCTAAACTGCCATTTGGCTGCGATTTCACGTCAAACGAGTTATGCGTAAGATAAAAGTCGCACTAGTACACTGAATGTGGCTATGTCGTTTCCGGTCTAAAATATGTCTTTTGCGTGGACATTTGTGAACCCTTTTCAGCCTGATACACTTGTCTGTAAAGTGTAGCAAGTGACATGTTGACGGATGCTCGCACAAGAACAATGGGTCTCAGTTCGCTTCGAGGCGAAACGGATGCACAGATTCAACGACACCAAGTGGATTTTTGTAATGTGGCATTCGTTTGACCTGGGCATGTTATTCATGCTTTGTTGTGCAATCCTCTGGATAGTTCGAACTAAATTACGAGCGCATCATGCTTATCAAATGCCAGTTCTTTAAGTTTGCTACTGCATTCATTACCACCAAAAATGCATTCAAATGATTTGCAGAAAGGAGACATCGTTAATCAGATGCAAATCATTTGTTAGAATGGAGACCTCCTAAAAAAGTGCGGTGCCTAATTCGGTGTCCGTACACAGAAGGCGATGATGAGACAGGACTCATGGCTGAGGCAAAAGGTGGCAAAGTGAGGTCGCGTGGCTTGATAATATAGTCATTGGCTTAACTGCACAGTTTAGTCACCGTCAACGACGTACCACATCATAAGATCATTGGGCTGCTGTTCTCAAGTGTTTAAGGCAAGTAGTTGACAACCTGGATGAAGTCGGGACTGATTACCTGACTTCCAACTACCCATACGCTTGCAATCATGTGTGAGCAGGTTGCAGTTTAAGTTGTGTCATTGTTTCACTATCTGGAATTCGAGGTAGTTATATTAATACGATTGTGTACGACATCGTCAATGTTGTTCGTCAAACATGTTAACTATCAAAAATGTCAATACACAGACACTATTTGGGGCAAGTGAGGGCACTCTCACGAAGTGTATCCATGACGCACTCTAGCGAGTCATTCATACCCCATAAATCATGGTTTCTTTGCATCCTCCTACATTTGCGTAAAGTGGATAAGCCTAGGCGTGGTGGCAGCAC